TTGCACCTGAAAGAACCATTTACCGGATCATCAAGAACTTCAAAGAGAGAGGTTCGACTGCAGTATAGAAGTCTTCAGGATGTCCCAGAGTGTCCAGCAAGCGCCAGGACCGTCTCCTGCTGAGGAGTCAGCTACAGAATCGTGTCTCCAGCAGTGAAGAGCTTGCTCAGGAATGGCAGCAGGTTGGTGTGAGAGCATCTGTACGCACAGTGAGGCCAAGACTTTTGGACAACGGCCTGGTGTCAAGAAGGGCAGCAAAGAAGCCACTTCTCTCCAAGACAAACGTCAAGGACAGACTGAAATTCTGCTGGAAGTACAAGGATTGGACCGCAGAAGACTGGTGCAAAGTTTTTTCTCTGATGAAGCTCCCTTCCGACTGTTTGAGACATCTGGAAAATCGATTGTTCGGAGAAGAAAAGGTGAATGATACCATGAGTCCTGTGACGTGCCAACAGTGAAGCATCTTGAGACCATCCATGTGTGGGGTTGCTTTTCAGCCGAGGGAGTGGGCTGTCTGATAATTATGCCCAAAAACACTGCCATGAATAAAGAATGGTATCGACCTGTCGCTGCCAGGATTTGCGCTTGATCTCTCTCAAACGTCCTGCAACAGCGACTTCTTCCAACTATCCATGAGCAATTTGGTTATGATCCGTGCATTTTCCAGCATGATGGAGCACCATGTCACAAAGCAAGAGTGACAAAGAAGTGGATCGAAGATCATTACATTAAAATTTTGGATCCGTGGCCTGGCAACTCCCCGGATCTCAGTTCGGTAAAGTTAGCAAATATTCACAGATTTTCCGGATCAATAACTCACGAGCAAAATGTTTTTATTACACAACTGACGCCTCTTTTCTTGCGTAGTGATGTAGAAAACGAGCTACAAGCGAGTTCTCCTCAAAACAAGCTTTCCTCCGCTCTGTACAAAATACATTGATCTCAATGCGCTGGCGTCCGAGAGACAAGTGACTATAAGTTATTTTTTGAAATAATTGCTTTTGCATATTTTCTATAATTATTTAAAATGAATAAGTGTTATTTAATACTAAAATAATAAGCTATTTTGAATAAGTGTTGTGGAATAACCAGCAGGAGAGCAGTGATGTGTGAACTGATTTTGGAGAAAGTACAGTGTGTTACAGTGAAGGTATTGATTATTTTGTCCAATAACAATGACGGTAATTACTTTTTTTTTTCATTATAAATAATCATAAATATGCAAAAAGCAATTATTTTCACAAATAACGGTTGTGGTATAACCAGCAGGAGAGCAGTGATGTGTAAACTGAATTTGGTGACACTACAGTGTGTTTCTGTAAAGTCATTGAGTATTTTATTAGTAACATTTTTCGCGTATCGCCACCTAATTGATGGTTGTGCAATATTTTTTCTTTTTTTCCCGTTTAATCTTGAATCCTTGAGAATATGAGTTATATTGTTTGTTTGATGATAATTACATATTAAGTCATATCAGATATGTATTTTTTATTATAGAAATACATTATAGAATCCATGTGTGAGATGATAATGTAAAATTTAATAAATATAGGCCTATATGAAGAGTTAATTTGCAAAAACAGATCACTCCGTTTTTAACAATTCTCAGAAATCATGTTTTTTCATTGTGCATTCCAGTTAATCTCAATCAAACTGCAGTTGGGTTATTTTGACTAGGTTAAAAAAATAACTTTAAAAACAGCTAACAGAATAAAACACAATAAAAACATGATAACATAATAAAAAACATGATTTCTGACAATTTTTAAAAACGGAGTTATCTGTTTTTGCAAATAAACTCTTCATATAATATAATAAATTAAACATTACCTTGTCATAATAGTGTTTTATAATTTATACAGATAACTGTTATATATGCCAATAAAATAAATATAATAACCATATTAGAATAATGTGTTAACTATATACAACTATATAGTTGTATGATATGTTAATTACAAAGCGCTAATATAAGTAATAAATAAGGTAATACGGTAGTAATAAATAAAGTAATATTATATATATATATATAACTATATTGTAATATTATATAATGTTGTGCGCTATCTGTCACGCCCACTGAAGGCTCGTCAGTAGATCACACGTGCGCTGATGGCTCTGAAGTGAACAAACCCTGGAACAGAAGCTGCACCGGAGCAGGTTATCTTCACAGAGCAAGTTACTATGGTTACTTACATACCCTGAAAGTAACCTCCGATTTTGGAACCGAAAGCTGAGGTTATCCGCTCGCTTATCCTCAAACATACCCGGGTATGTCACACATAACCTGCTTTCTGGAATACACCCCGGATCTCAATCCCATAGAGAACCTCTGGTCAGTCCTCAAAAGGCGAGTGGACAAGCAGAAGCCCACAAATTGTGATCAACTCCGAGAACTAATAAGGCAAGAATGGATTTTGGAGTCAGGATTTGGCCCAGAAGCTAATATCCAGCATGCCAGAGCGAATTGCAGAGGTTATCAAGGGTTAACCCTGTAAATATGAACTCATTATATATATTTTTTGCCAATAAAAGCCTTTAAAACTTATGATATGCTTATCATTGTTTTTCAGAAGGCCTATACCATAGAAACATGTGGAAAAATCCTGAAGCATCAAACTTTGCAAAACACACAATTTATGTCACTGCCAAAACTTTTGGCCATGACTGTAAATATAAGGGGACTTATTTCGAGTTATTGCTCACCTGCGCTCCGTGTGTCTTCACCGTCTTGAGTTCATTCCACTCTGACTCTCTGCTGCTCACACGAGCCTAAATACAGAACCTCTACTAAACTTTCACTTTCAACATGACTGAGAACACTCTTGAGAACAGCTGTTTATGTTGTTATAACATTTTTTGGCCAGCAGTTGGCGCTGTCAATAACCTGCAAATTTCCCCTTCATGCCTTAATGATGATGACAGACCAAATATAGAAAATATACTGGCTCACTTCTTGTTTGATTATTAGAATCTGGGTATTAATCGGGTTAATATGTCTCGAATTTTTAATAACTGGACTTGATGGCTCTACATCTCCATTATACGCATGACCTCCATTCAAAAGGTGAAGGCGGTGTTCTTGCAGAACCTGAAAACATTGGGATTTTCTTACTAGTTTTAACTAGTTTTGAACAACACGTATTGTAAGAAGTGATATAGCCTATAAATAAAAATTAATTGGATAAACACTTATCCACCCACGAGAGAAGATGTTGACAGGAATTCCAGGAGTAAAAGCCTCAGTTGGCTGATAAATCATGATATATGAGTAGGTATGATGATGATAATCTATCTCTAGTCTGTGGTATCTAAACTAAAGAAACTCCTTTACAAAAGCTGACCCCTCAAAAAATGTAGGCTATAATTCACACAATGTGCAAATCAAATATTACATCACTAATTGCCAAATTAACCACGATGAATTTTGTTATATTAGGCAAAATCTTTCTTCCAAAATGATTGCTGTTTTATTACCTACTAAAACACAATCAGTAACTTCACATGGGAAGTTTGGAGTGTTTCATTATAGAAGAAAAAGAAAGTCTACACAAACTTTTACAAGTGAAGCACATATGAAAGACCAGGACCAAAGTGAAAAAATAAAGAAACTTCAAAGAAATAAAAACATAATAGTGTTTTCTTTACTTTCAGTTTATAACAAAATTAGTTTTGTTATCATTGGGAATAATAAACTAGCAGCAATCCTCCACCAAGAGTCACTAAATGACACTCAATCAACAACTAAATGAAGCATATATTCACCTCAGAACAAGACACAAGATGCGTTTATGTACATTCAGGTGCTGTTTAAAAAATGATTTCATGTGACATTCATTTTGGTCAAAGAGAGTTGATTTCATCATATCAGGACATGCTCTCTGCTGGTAGATGAATTAATTGCAACAGTATTATATTCATCTTACACCAGAACAGACTTTACCATTTACCACAAATTAGATTTATTCTTACTCTTCACTGATGACAAGTTTATTAAAAATGATAAAAATAGATTTTAGACCATTTTTAGAGTATCATGACACTTTCATAATTTAACAGCAATTTAATAAATAAAAAATGATAATGCAAATACAATAGGTCAATGCAATGGCATATGCAATGCAGCTATATGATGCTCAAAAATGCTAAAAAAACACTTAGTTTACACAATATTTACTTAAAATACATTAAAGTCTTTGAAAACACAAGGGCAGAATTATTATCTGATGCAGATATATTCTCCGCATAGCCAAATATTGGCTGATTCATTAGTTTGACCAATATATTGATCAATCATTGTTTCCGACACTGTATGTGAATTTTACAGTTCAGCATATTTAGTTAAACAGGACATTATCACGTCTATGATGTTTACATGAAAGATTAAACACAATTTGCTGTTTTCATAGTGTTTCTTTCTAAACATTGGTTGTCATCACTGTTTGTTCTTCAGAAACACCTCTTTCATATTTCTTCTGTAATCCAGAAGGGTTGGTACTTATGAACCTCTTCACACAGATGATTGCAGTAACGATGATGATGATGAAACAGCTTACTGCAGTGATGACGATGGCCTCAGTTACAATACCTGATTGATAAGTTTAATAGTAAAATTAAGAATAGTCTATAATCTCTTTAGGTGCATTCAAATGCTGTTACGACATTGTTTAAATCATAAAACAACCTGAGAATATTTATCCTATTGGACTTCTCAATCAGACTTCACAATATACTTCTGCTGCTGTTAGAATTTGTAGAATTTATTAATATAAAATTTAAACATACTATGATATGTCACTATTTGGAAACTCACCCATAATCAGTAACACTTTCTTGGACTTGAAGCATCCTTAAATATTCATTGCAGTCATTTATTTCTGGAGCTTGACATTAAAGATATCTCTGACAAGTAGTGGAAGAGCAGTTTCCATTTTTACAGAAATTCAAAACAGTAAACAATTATCAATAATCATATTTAAACATGGTAAAAATCCCAATATTAACATTATATAACAATAGCAAGTAGTTGTATTGCTATATAACAACAATATAGCAGCTGTGTTCTTGAAGTAACCTAAATAATTTGTACTTAATAATCAATAACTATAATAGAATATAATACCTTTCTTGCCAGGAGCTTCAGTGTCAGGTTTATGCTTCATGGATTCTGTTAACAAATTTTAAACCGCTGTTAGTAGATTGAAAATAAATACAGTAGCAAACATTTATTGAATTTTAAACAGCATTATAATTTACCGTACCTGTTATGTCCACAGTGAATTCTGTTATTTTCGCTCCACACTTTGTTTGCATAAAGAATCTGAATTGTTCTGTCATTGCTGTAGTTGGAGTTTAGCGGCATGTGAAGCTGTTCCTCTGTTCACAGGAAAAACTTGATGACAGACTGCGGCGTCATAAATGCTCTCAGGGTATTGAAACTTATACCGTGTAATGCAGCATTCAGTGAGCAGCAGAGAGATGCTGCAGGTGAGTTACTTCTTTCCCCACAGATACAGTCACATTCTCACAGCTTACAATGACATCTGAAAAAGAATGTATTTATCAGTTTAATACATCAACAGTAAACTAATTTCTGTCATTTTTCACATTAAGAAATTCAATCAACTTAAAGTTGAAGTGTGTCGCTTCTGCAACATTAGGGCCACCAAAAAGGACTCAAAAATAATGACTGATTCCAAACAGGTTTTCCAAACACTCCCCCGTCTGCAACTCTTCATCTACCACATTACTCTGGGTCACATACTGCAGCCGTGTTATCAATAATACAGCAGGTTGAATTATCTTTAGAGAAAGCGAATTATTCAGAATGGGAGAAGAAGGTATTTTCTCACTATATTTATCAGCTTGACAGCTGTGAAAGTCCAAACCAGTATGAACACAGCACAACATTATCAGCATTCATGACTGTTTCTGCAAAAAATAAGGCAAATATTTAGATCTAAACTGAAGCTTAACCAACCATAACTAGAGACATTAGTAGTTCATCCAAAAATGAAAATTCAGCCATCATCTACTCACCTTCATGTCATTCCAAACCTGTGTGACTTTCTTTCTTCTCTGCAACATAAAATAGGATAGACAGATAGATAGATAGATAGATAGATAGATAGATAGATAGATAGATAGATATTGACCCAAATACAACCACAAGAGCATTGTTGTCACACCACTCCACTAATTTATTACGCCTCAGTGTTATTTTGTACATATAATGAAAGTGAAATCAGATGGATGTCTTTGGCTGTTAAATCATGCTTGCCTAACATATTCTATATTACAGATTTGCATTATGTGAAGACTCACTTGCCCTGTTCAGTTCAAAACAGCATACTACTCTTACTATTTCAGACATATCTTTATTGTTGTCTTTTAGTTTTGGAAAGTCTACCACAGTATCATTTTCATTCTTGAAAAATTAAAAATGGTGCATATCCTGCTACTGAATACAGCTTGAGATAATAAAGCTGCAAAACAGACAGTTATACAGCTATGAATATACTGAAAGTACAGTCAAACTTTTTAATTCAAAAGGAAAAACACTGGGCAAAAATATTCTAAAACAGCACATTCATACATAAAACATACTAGGGCAGCAATTATGAAAACATGGCAGACAGTGCGTGTATAATCTTAATCACTCGAACAGGTTTGTCAAATGTTAATACACTTAATATCCCGTTTTGATGTCACCTCTGTAGCTCATTTCTAATTGGTTAAACTAACAATTTACTCCGTTTAAGACTAGTTATTCCCATATAGCCTAGCATATTAAATGATCATACATCTTCATTTAGAGATACAGTCTCCAACATATCAGGCCTATAGGGCCAATCGGTTGACAGCGTAAAGAAATACTCAATTTCTAATTTAATAGAATACTCTAATTTCGCTTCACAGACATTCAGAGTATCGATTTAAAAGGGAAAACTGCGCTCGATGTGAATATGATTTTCACTACATATTTGTCTCTGTATGTCTTCATCTGTGAACTGTAACGTTAACTTACTTTCACTTTCAAAGTCACTCAGATTTAACTTAGTGCTGTTTTCTCTTTCTTATTTGAGGTTTAAACAGCATAAACTGATCAAGATGGTTACTTGTAGGCTAAGGGAATCATGTTTTATCGTCTTCATATGCTTGTGTTGTTGTTTTTACAGTTTTGGACACAGACCGATGAGCTACACAGAAAACAACATCGCTTCGCTCGCGCACGGCAACAAAACTACTGCGATATAACATTACATCAGCTGAACTCACCCGAATGTCGTTATATGTCCACAGACTCAGTTTCTTAAATTCCTCATTTCCATCAGCCGAAGTCGCGACGTCCTGATCTTTGAACCTGAAATATTTTAGAGAAAAAGAAAAGGCTCAAGCAGGACTAGTCGACACACTCTTCCTGGGTTGCCAGGTCTGCGTAACCAAAATGGCCCAATGGGCAAATCATAGACCAAAAGTAGCCAATCACTACATCCCAAATATAAAACCTCAAAATATGCAATTCCCATCCCTAAAATGTATATTTTACAGTCACTGTCATGCAAACTGAAAACCACTGTATAGTAGCGATCATAAACACAACTCAAAGGCTCCTCCTTCACAAAATGTATCATCTCGCGCAGGTTTATCATTGGTAGAATATACAATATTTCAATACAAGCATTTCAGTCAAATACAATTTATGCACCGTCAAACCATTAACCCGCGGGGAGAAAATTAACCCGCTGCAACAGTTTAAACCCCAAGTATCCCAATTCCGCACTAAAACCGCGAACTTGGCAACCCTGTGACCAATCATGTCAACGTCACCGCTTACGTCACACACGGAAGCGGTGGTAAAAAGACCAAATAAGGCACTGAAGGCACGCAAATAGTAAAGAAAATCATGTCAGTATCATCAAGCACATTTGAGCTTCCAGTAGCTACAAACACATCTTACCCCGCGCAGTCAATATGTAGTTTAAATTCGCACTGATCTCCAGTTTTGTTCTCATTTCGTGTGGCATATGTATGGCTGGAGGCAGCAAATAAATACACATCCACTAAACATTAGGCTATTCGACACCAAATGCTAAATCTCAAATGAAGACATCCCTAACCTAAGACTGTTAAAAATTACATTTTGCATGTAAATAATCTTAAATTGCATCTTTACACAGGCTTGTGCATGTAATTAGGCCCATACAGATAAAAATAGACTGCTCTACAGAAATCTATATAAAACATAAAAGAAAAAAAATAGACCTAAATAAATAGTTTTTTTATTTGTATTATTTATTTATTTTATAGATCAATGCAACAGCACGTTGACAAAAATAGCCTAAAACGGCTCAAATCAAATTACACTACAAGTCTATACTCTGCGTTTGAATTAGTTGAATTAATTCATTAGAATTAGGAATTAGCGACTGTTGCTCTGCATGACCTTTTTTTGTTGTTGTTGCTGGGAAGAGTAAATTATACAGTAAATACAGTAACTCCAACTCAAGCATGAATATGCTTACCACTTAAAATCATTCTAAATCTCGCAGCATTTAACAACAAATGGCTACAGGTTTCCTGCAGAATAAGTTCACTTGTTTTACAAATAAATAGGCATATATACAGATCAGCTCTGTGCGGCTGTTTTATAACTTAATATGATAAAAAAAAAATTCTTTAAAATCAGAGTATCACAAGTTTTTATTCAATTCATTCATTTTAAAACAATAAAACACTGTACAAAACCACACAACTGCAGTTACAGAATACTAACATTAAAAATCATTTTAATTTTTTAGCTATATTATTATTTAGCAAGTGCAAAAGCATTACTGAAGACATCCCTCAAAAGTCAGACTTTCTTCTGCTTCAGTGACAATTTCAGGTTTAATGGGCCCTGTTAACAGATTTTAAACCACTGTAAAAAGATTAAACATAAATGTACAGAATTACAAACAACATATACCGTACCTGTTATGTTCACAGTGAAATTAGTTCTTTTCATTCCACAGTTTGTTTGCACAAAGAATCTGAATTGTTCTGTCATTGCTGTAGTTGGAGTGTAGCGGCATGTGAAGCTGTTCCTCTGTTCACAGGAAAAACTTGATGACAGACTGCGGAGTCATTAAAGCTCTCAGGGTATTGAAACTTATACTTTGTAACGCAGCATTCAGTGCGCTGCAGAGAGATGCTGCAGGTGAGAGTTACTTCTTTCCCCACAGAACCAGTCACATTCTCACAGCTTACAATGAAATCTGAAAAATAACAATGTTTATTATTATATAATACAGTGACATATATTGTCTTGCTGGGAAGAGTTAATTATACAGTAAATACAGACAACAAATCCCAAAATCTAACTAAAATGAATGTTTACCACTTTCTAAATCTCTTCATTCCAACATTTAACATCAAATATCAAAATATTTCTTGCAGAATAAGTTAATTCACTGGTTTTACAAATAAATAAGTCATATAAACAGATCAGCTCTGTGTGGCACTTTGACCTCACTACACTGCTCCAAAAAAAAAAAAAAAAGGCCACAGTTAATCATCACAGTATAACATCGAGTCAATTAAACTTCAGGACTTTCAGTCTGTCCAGTCATGACGAAAAAGTGATTGTGAATCAGTTTCTCCTGCTTTGGTGCAAATGAATGTTACAACAGGTGCACTGGAGAGGCAACAGCAAGAGAACCCCCAAAATGGAATGGTTTTGTAGGAAGTGGCCACAGACAATTGCTCTCTCCCTATCCTTCCTGACTGATTTGTCTCCAGTTTTGAAGGGTCCTTCTCACTACTTGTAGCATGAGGCAGTACCTGCAACCCAATCAGGTTGCACAGCTCCTCCAGGATCGCACATCCATTCATGCCATCACAAGGAGGTTTGGTGTGTCTCCCAGCCCCAGGATAAAATCATCACTGGGTACACTCTTAAAAATGCTGGGTTAAATACAACCCAATTGCTGGGTTTGTCCCTATTTAACCCAGAACTGGGTTGTATTTAACCCAGCATTTTTAAGAGTGTACCCAGTGATGATTTTATATTGGGTTGTTTTTAACCCAGCATTTTTAGAGTGTAAAATCCTATTAGATCTTATGCTGAATTGAGCTGGAAAAGTGCTGAATTTCTCTGGAAAAGTGCATTAAATTTAAACAATTTAAAATGGCAGACATTGAGATTCTCCACAGAAGCATGCTGAAAAATCTAATAACTGATTTCTTGACACATGCATATCTGTGCAGTCTCTAAAAATACTCTGTGTCCGTATTTGGAAACCACAAACTTTAAACACTAAAATAAAGGTGATTTTAAAGCTATGAATATGCTGATAAGAGTTTGAAGAGTAGTTTTCTATAAATTATCTAGAAGAGCAATTAATAATTATAATGGAATATATACAATACCTTGGCTTTTCAGAAGCTTTATTACTAAATTTTTCTAATTTATTACTAAATAATCAAACCTATAATAGAATACATACCTTTCTTGCCAGGAGCAGGAGCTTCAGTGACAATTTCAGGTTTAATGAGCCCTGTTAATTAAACCACTTTTAAAACCATTGCTAGAAGATTTTAAATAAATGTAAAGATTTATAAACAACAGTGTTGTATGTAGTACCTGTTGTGTTAACAGTGAATTCTGTTCTTTTCATTCCACACATTGTTTGCACAAAGAATACTATATTTTCCTTCCTTGCTGTAGTTGGAGTGTAGCGGCATGAGAAGCTGTTACTCTGATCACAGGGGTTGTAAGGAAGCTCTTGTGCACAGATTAAGGTGTCATTTATCCCAGGGTATTGAAACATATACATCACAATGCAGCAATCAGTGTACTGCTGAGAGATGCTACAGGTGAGAGTTACTTCTTTCTCCACAGATCCAGTCACATCATCACAGCTTGCACTGACGAAACCTGATAAATAACAATATTTATTATATAATACAGCAACACAACAATAATAAAGATGCCTGTCATTTTTAACCTTTCAAGAAATGTTATCCTAACATATTTGTTGTGTCTGTGTCCATGTCAGTCATGTAATATCATTGCACATAGATGTGTCCCTAATTAAACACAGCTTATTCAAAACAGACATGATATACCCCCCCCCTTTAATAAGCCTTTACCTGAGTGAGTTCTACTGTGCTCTAAATCATTCAAACTCTTTTGACAGTTCAATGCAAGTTCCTTTTGCAAGATGTTGCACTGTTTCATGCTTTTCATCTTCAGAAAGATCTTTCTTCTTCCCCATACTGTATGAGAACTGTGACTCGCTTAATTACTTGGAACCTCTATAGGTAGGTTTTCCATTTACCCAAGAAGACTTGATTGGCAAATTATTTAAGAAACCTGTCTGAGATTGATACCTGTTATCTAAAAAGATAGGAGAAATAAAACAAACACTTTCTTTGAAAAACTAAAATCTGAATGATTATTTTACCGAAATCCTACTGATATGTCACTTGCATAATATTTGGAACACAGTGTAGTTGAAACCCCCCCCCCCCCCCCCACGACCACTCGGCAACTGAGCAGTTCCCATACCAGACTGTGATACAACTGGAAAGGATGTTCTCGATCGCACACTGGTAGAAGTTCACCAGGATGGCTGAAGACAACTGGTTCTTCTTCAGTGTCCTAAGGAAGAAGAGGCGCTGGTTAGCCTTCTTGACCAGGCTGGAGGTGTTTGTGGTCCAGGACAGGTCCTCCGAGATGTGGGTTCCCAGGAACTTGAAGCTGGAGACACGTTCAACAACTGTCCCGTTAATGTGGATGGGGTCATGCGTGTTTCCTTTCTTCTTCCTAAAGTCCACAATAAGCTCCTTTGTCTTACTGGTGTTAAGGAGCAGGTTGTTGTCAGCGCACCATGCGGCCAGGTGCTGTACCTCCTCCCTGTAGGCAGTCTCATCATTGTCTCTGATGAGGCCAATCACCGTGGTGTCATCTGCAAACTTGATGATGGAGTTGGATCCATGCACAGGCCTGCAGTCGTGGGTGTAGAGGGAGTAGAGGAATGGGCTCAGCACACAGCCCTGTGGTACGCCGGTGTTGAGTGTGATGGTGGTGGAACAGATGTGGCCTGACCTAACATGCTGAGGCCTGTTGGTCAGAAATTCCATAATCCAGTTGCAGAGTGAGGTGTTAATGCTGAGGTCTCCAAGTTTAGTGGTCAGCTTGGAGGGAATGACAGTGTTAAATGCTGAGCTGAAGCTTAATGTAGCTTGCGCCAACAGTCCTACACGGAAGCAGCTCCGGGAGCATGACGTATGAGGTCAGCTATACCATATAGACTGCTGAGGACTGGGGTAAAGTCATTTTCTCTGATGAATCCCCTTTCCGATTGTTTGGGGCATCCGGAAATTAGCTTGTTCGGAGAAGAAAAGTTGAGAGCTACCATCAGTCCTGTGTCATGCCAACAGTAAAGCATCCTGAAACCATTCATGTGGGGTGTTGCTTCTCAGCCAAGGGAGTGGGCTCAATCACAATTTTGCCTAAGAACAAAACCATGAATAAAGAATGGTTCAAAAACAACCTCCGAGAGCAACTTCTCCCAGCCATCCAAGAACAGTTTGGTAAGGAACAATGCCTTTTCCAGCATGATGGAGCACCTTGCCATAAGGCAAAAGTGATAATTAAGTGGCTCGGGGAACAAAACATTTAAATTTTGGGTTCATGGCCAGGAAACTCCCCAGACCTTAATCCCATTGAGAACTTGTGGTCAATCCTCAAGAGGTGAGTGGACAAACAAAAACCTACAAATTCTGACAAACTCCAAGCATTGAATATGCAAGAATGGGCTGCCATCAGTCAGGATGTGGCCCAGAAGTTGATTGACAGCATGCCAGGGCGTATTGCAGAGGTCTTGAAAAAGAAGGGTCAACACTGCAAATACGGAGTCTTTGCATAAACTCATTGTAATTGTCAATAAAAGCCTTTGACACTTAAGAAATTCTTGTAATTTTACTTCAGTGTACCATAGTAACATCTGACAAAAAGATCTAAAAACACTGAAGCAGCAGACTTTGTGAAAATTAAAATTTGTGTCATTCTCAAAACTTTTGGCCATGGCTGTACTCCCTGACCATAATGAATTTCCCTTACTGTTGTGCAATGCTTTACATTATCTTAGAGTCCTTCTGCCAAATTCTCACCAAGTTTACTTTCTTACCATCATCAGCTTGACAGACAGCAGTAAAGGTCCAAACCAGAATGAACAGTTGCACAACATTTACAGCATTCATGGTGGTGATTCTGCAATAAAAAATTACAAAAATGTGCAATTTGGACAAATAATGAACTACCAGAGATTACATAATTATTAGATAACAACTTTAAAGAAGATGATTTACAGAGAGCTTTTTGCACACTTACGGTCAAGTAGGTCTTCACACTGTGTGAGTTTATTTCACATGAACGTAACTAAGTTTCAGAATTACTCAACTACCTATCTTGGCACAGTGGTTTTTGACCATGTTTATTTTCAGATCGAAAAAAAAAAAGGTGTGATATGCAACAAAAGAATGCTGTTGCTGTTATAACTAATGTCAAACACTGATGGAAATGTTTGTTAATGATTATTGCATGCATAAGCGTGTGATATTTGTTATTTTTAATGGCATCAGTGCATTAACTAAACACACTGAAAATGACCTTGTAAGAATTACAGAACCTCAGACACTTTGATCTTCTGAGACAGACAATACACACACAGTGCATTAACATACAGACATCTGTCTCCACATCTCACTGAGAGAAAATGCGGGAAAACGTCTCTCACATATGCATCAGTTCCGAAACTCAGATACTTTGATCTCCTGAGAAACAGACAATACAAACTTACACGGGCATCTTGGAGAAACCCCACAGAGTGGCGGTGCAGGAAACGCTTTTCTCACATATGCATCAGTTCCTTTTCATCTCCTCCCTCCACTTGATTTACTCAGAATGGTAAATAGTATAATGTTCTATATGAATGCAAATAAGATTTACAGTCATATTTGGTTTCATTTGAATAGTCTCAGGGTGAGTGGTACAATGGTCGTAATCTTACAAAAGTAAACTAAAAGAGTTAAGAGATACTTTGATTACTGTAGAGGGTCATTCCATGCCAATTCCCATTGAGGTGTAAACTAGCCACCCAGATTCCAATTGTTAGTACATGCCTCCATTTGGGGGATGTTTTATCTTGGTTTTGTATTTAAAGGATTGCAGCAAAAGGGTCGGGCGGATTCTGTAGCCAGAAAGCCCGTATTATGAAGTGTGTCCACACACTTCATAATATGTATTTTACTAAAAGTCAGGTATGTATCTTACTCTTAGATTCGTCTTTGAGAATTTGATGTCTTGTATTGATTTGATATCGTTGAATTGGCTGTGGAGATAATTGGCATAATACATATTTACCTGACTGATAATAAATTGTTACATTTGACTTATTCTGACTTACTCTGAAATTATTTCCTCAAGTAGATTAAGTGAAGGCGTATGTTTCCGCAAATCTGTGACCAGGGTTACGTGCATACTAGATCTCAGATTAGATGAAGCATGCGGTGCATCAGGTGAGATTATGGGTTTCTGACTAACCGCTTGACCTTAGTTTAAGTTGTACTCAGTTACGTTAACCATGCATATTGTTTCAGCATTAATTAAGTTGTACGGAGTTATATTAGCTATCGGGGGCTAGACAAGGGGTTCTAGCAAAACCGCTGATTAATGTTTGAGTATTACATGGGTAACTGTAGGGGGCTAAACAGACCTACTATTTAAAGCATATTCTGAGGGTACACCCACTCAGAAGACTCATGTTTTTCTCCCTATTGCTTGGGAAATGTTTATGGCCAAATAGTAACATACAATTAAACATATCACACATTATATCAAGCAAATGGCTACTGGGCCTTCATATAGTCTTTAAACAGACTATATTAAATAAACAAACCTTTGAGACCTAAAAACAGTGATTGTGCATTGCATCAGTCCTGAGCTTGCCCGGCTCCTCAACACCTTTTCATATTCAAATGAATCGCCATGAGAATGCAATTTGTGACAACTTAGACCTTATTGCAGATGGAAAATTTCTCACATGAGTTGTGATTTGACCATGTACTCCAAATATGCTTGCAGTCATTGGATGTTAACAACTTCAGAGTCTCTCCAGACACTTTGATCTTCTGAGACAGACAATACACACACAGTGCAAGTACGTGGACCTTACAACCTTTAAAAGCGGACCTCTCAAAAATGTCTTTTAATATAATTCACAAAGTGCATCAATAATCAAACAATCAATTTTGAAATCGAAAAACAATCAAGTACACGTGGGAAGTTTGGTGTGTTTCATTATAGTTTGTTATTTATTTCTGTATTTTAGGCCATCATAAAGAGAGGCTGTACAAACACGGTCCTTACAGAACTTCATACAAGCGAACCACATATGAAAGACCAGGAACAAAGTGAAAGAATAAAGGAACTTGAAAGAAATAATAAAAAGTAAACAAAACAATTTAGTGTTTCCTTCACTTTCAGTCGATAACAACATCAGTTTTGTCCTCATTGACATTATAACGAGCTTAAACAAGCAGCAATCCTCCACCAAGAGTCATCAAACGACACTCAATCCACAACAAAATCACCTCAGAACAAGACACAAGATGCAAATGAGAGCAGAAGAATTTCATGCCGTTTATGTACATTCAGGTGCTGCTTAATTAAAAATATAGTTTCATATGATAATCATATTGGTCATAGTCGATTGATTTCATCATAGCAGGACACGACAGATGCTCAGCAGAGTCAGACGTGATGTGTGTGTTTGTATGTGCATTATATAGAGCAGTATATCAACACACTCGACAGTAAATCAACATTAAACATGAAAAGTCAACAAAATGACATAAATATGCATACAAACACAAACCGAGCAACGCATCAGTGGATCTTTCCACTCTCGCTCTGGTTTCGTATGTTTGGCTGAAGACAGCGCTCTGCTGGTAGAAGAATGCATGGCAACTGTTACATTATATTCAAATGACACCTGAGCAGAGAATGGCTTTCCGACTTTATATTCACCTAAAATCGCACAAGATTATTCAACATCATGCTCTCTGGATATACAGCGCTGTATCGATAAGGTGGACTATATTAGAGGAACAACAGCAGATTTCAGCAGTGAAATCAACACTGACGGTTGATGAATTGAGTAAAACTCACAAAACACTAACAGGTCATGATTTCACACCAAAATCAACACAAAAAGTATTCTAGTTAAAGATTTTCAGGACCATACATGCATTACAGCAATGGGATATAAAATGTGTGCTTCATTGTCATGACAATAATGTCTAATGTCACAATGCCAATATCAAAAATAAATAAATGGTCTTGAAAAAATAGGTCAAGATATTCAAGCCCATTTTAGGACAATTCAATAACAATAATAATAATAATGAATTTTATTTAAATTGCGCTTTTCTCAAACCCAAAGTGCCATTAAATAATATAAATATATAAATAATGGTCCTAAAATGGGCTTCAATATATTTACCTAAAATTGTATTTATTATATTTATACGTCATAGTATTTTATTTTTTTTTGTATTTTAAATAATGCCAATTTCAATAAAAAAAAGCTGTTTTATTACAGTATGTCAGGCTACATTAAATAGAAACTAAAGAGTATAAAATGATGGGAATTTCAAAATAAATGCATGTATTTGGAAGAAATGTGCTTAATTTTCATGAAAATAATGTCAATATAAAAAATAAATAAATAAACCCTTAACGGTCCTAAAAAATCATATTTTTTCCTTTTGATTTTGGAGTGAAATGTGACTTAGATGCGTTTTCTTGTGATATTCACCCAAATAACTTTACAAAGTTCATAAACAGGCATACATTTTTTACTTGTATTCCTCTTGTATTTCCTCCTATCTGCCCTTTAGACTCTCTGTAACACTGTAAGATAATGTCAGTTTCGACTCGAGCCAAGACAGCTCAGAGAGTTTGAGGAAATGTTATCTTACACCATATTTACTCACTGAAACACCACATGATTATCTGCAAAAGGATCCATTAAGGTAAAAACAATGCTTGAGATTGAAATGTGATGCCGGAATCTCATCACCATGGTGAAAAACATGGTACATTCAACGGTTTCAAGCACCCGATTCATCGCGTCACAGGATGCTGCGTGCCGTGTAATTAAACATCCACATATGCGTCGATCACACAAACAGGCCTATGCTGAATATTGCATGTGGCAGTTCTGATTGACACACCACATTCATTATAAGTTTTAAAACATTCCTTAAATAGGTGATATATTTTTGCGCATATACACACTCTCTCTCATCGATTACATAAGAAAGCAATAAGGGGAAGTGCGTCTTAAACACTGACTAACTGCGTTTAACAGGAAAAAGATGACATTCAGTGCGCTGCGTGGGTAACGGGTCCGTTTGACTCATGAACTACACGCTGTGAGCCTCCTACCGACTTCAGCTTCTGTTGAACTGAACAAACACGATAGATTGTCACTAGTCAGCCATGCTGTACACAGCAGACAACATTCAGCCAAGAGAATAATGCAGAAAGACAAGGACGAGAAGCTAAAAGAGAGCATATTCAAGAAATGAACTATACA